AAAATAATTATTTGCATTAGATTTATAATTTGAATGTTTCTTTCATAGGGCTTCCGGGAAACCAAGGGCCGCCAGGTGACTCAATGCAAGGCATGAAGGGTATGAAGGGCATGGCGGGGGATCCAGGTCAGCAAGGACTTCCAGGATCTGTTGGACATCCGGGAGAGAAGGGAATGCAGGGAGCTAAAGGCCTACCGTTCTTTGGAATGAAAGGAGAAAAGGGAATGTCTGACAGATTTTTCATAATACTGCGTGGACGGACATTTTCTCCAACTACAAAATTTTTTACACGAACAGTACCCCCAACTACAAAATTCTTTACACGAACAGTATCTCCAACTCCAAAATTCTTCACACGAACAGTATCCCCAACTACAAGATTCTTTACACGAACAGTATCCACAACTACAAGATTCTTTAAAGGAATATTCCTTCCAGCTGCAACCAAATTTAAGAGTCTCAAAGAGTCAAAAGTTATTGTCTCAAATGGAGCATTCTTCTTCCTAAAAGGTAAGAGTACTTTGTATCTCTATTGTCTGTTGGCCGACTCATTTGCATTTTACAAATATTATTATAGGTGGCCGTCTTTTCCATATCAAAGCTAGATATTTAAAAACATATCCAAATTACCTTGATACCATTGTAAAAAGCAGTAAAATTTGACTTAATCTGTCATAAAACAATTGCTCCAAATGCTCTTAGATTAATATGACCAGCGGAAGTTATAATTAGTCGGCTGTCAATATAGGGAGTCTTTTATGCTGTCCAGCATAAAAAAGGAGGGCCTTCTGTGAAACAGTGACCTTCGGATGGCTAAACCTTTATTAATTAGGGAATTACAAAGGATGGTTTGATATTTTCTTCTAATAACGTTTTGTTACCAGCATTTGCAACGTTTGTTATCAGCATATTCATGATTTGACTTGCATGAACTTATGGAGACTAAAACTAGGTATAAACAGCCATAAAAACGTCACTGCTTACGGATATAATGATTTAATATTGAATTATAATTCTCTGATACGAAATGACGAGGAAATGGCGTTTCAGTATTTTTATCAAACTTCCGAGTCGTCCCTCGATATACTCATAGCACATATAGCACAATGATTATTTCATTCACGTAGCTGGTTCGATTTTTATTTATGTGTCCCCATTTTACCATTAAAGGTGACAAGCAGAATGGCACCCCAAGTCGTGAAAACAGTGAAGAAGACTCCGACATTCTGCAACAACTGAAGGACGCCGTGGTACATGAAATTGTACTAGGAGTAATCATAGGAACGGTTTTCCTAGGGACCATCTACCTCTATGTAGCCTATTTTAAGCAAGTGGCATATGAAAAACGTGAAATCGAAAAAATAAGGAGAAAATTGGAAGGAATGAATCCTTAAAAGGAAACTTTATTCAAATATCCACGTGAATCACAAAGGAACTTTTACAGGATGAGATTACAGTGGTCATCAGTTCTAACGTCAGATATCCTATTTATCCACGTGGTTTGATGACGTTGGAGATCCTATTCCTCCTCGCTCGGCTGTCACCTTGATCGTTTGAGGAATCTTAAAACCATACAAAACTACCTCTAAGACAATTCACAAGTACACCATAATGCAAACAAGCTTAGATGCGGACTTTTTAGAACCAGGGCGGAAATGGGGAAATGGTGTCAGTATGCAAAATGTTGGAAGATCCAATTTCCTATCCCAGACTATAATTAAGAAGAATATAGTAATTCTACGGCCTATAGACCTGTTTTGCTGCGCGATTGGTTATAAAAACAGTATCAAAAATTTGTTTAAGATTTTTATACGTATCTTAATGATTTTGTCCAACATATTCCATACTCGTTAAGCAAGTCTCCTGCCCGTGTTTAATTTCCTATACGAAGATTTTGTTTCAACCATAATGGGCTGGCATATGTAATTAAGGCGACCAAAGCCATAGCTGAATATGTCTCTATGGCTTTTTCAAGTGACATGGGCCTATATACACAGAGTGTGCAAAGGCATTGGTTCTGTTTGCAAAGTTACTAGCTACAAATGAAGTGAAGGATCACCCAGAATGTCTCTATTCTTGTCTTTGTCTCTGGCTTAGTGATAACAAGAGGCAAAAATTAATAAAAAAATGATTTCTTTTAAGACATGTGTACCTGTTTTCTATTCAAAGCCACACAATTGATAAGATGGTTAAAAAGGACGTTCTCCTATCTTCATATCCTTTGCCATTTTTTAAAGAAATTGCCATAAAATGAAAATATTAGGCACTTAAATGTTAGGAAAAACCTCCCATGATCAGTATCTCTGCTTTCACGTGATGCCCAGCAATAGCCCTAAATGTTTCTGAACTTTTAAATCCATAGAAGTCCACTTAAAATAAAGAATTTGTCTGAAAGAGCAGTCATTTCTCTCCTTTATTAAAAGCGGCGTAAGTTTATTTTTAATTTGACTACTAATAATTCAACTTTTGTCTAAGTGGCCTAAAGTTGGGTCTAAAAGTTAAGCCGGGTTTTCCGACTTAGGCCTAGCCCAGTCTCGACACCTTACTTGTAATACACCGATGGTGATAATATTAAGATATATTTAATTTTTTGTTTCAAAAACGTAATCTAAATTTCCACTAGCATTTTATACTGAATCGGACATCTACGTTAAAGGGATAGATGCATGGCGTCTGCGCTGCTGTCTGTTTGGAATTATACATACAGCTTTGCTGATGTGCTGTAATATAAAAATCTTTAACATCACTGTAGTGTGAAGTGACCTTATATCAAACAATACAATCATCAAAGCAAAACCACCTCCAGCTCATGTTGGAAGCTTCATATGAAATCCTCTTTAAAATAGTTTCAATTTTTTATGACTCGTTCTCACGCCAAAGTGTACAATAAAAGCAAAATTACCCCCAGTCGCTAGCGAAAGCCTCCCATTAAATACTCGTTAGAATCATCTGCATTTTGCTGTCTGTCAACGAGTGCGGTTTTAAAATAGCGTCACCATATGAGACTAGACGCCGTATCCCAAACTACTAACTGTATTCATTGTCTGCATTAATGACACTATAAAAGTGTTAATATATTTCATATAAAGGACATAGATGTTCCCCAATATTGACGTATTCCCTTTGCGTTGAAATGTGTTTTGGCACAGGCAGGAGGGAATTGTTTTACAGTGTTGCCTCTGTTATAAGCAAATGTATGATAATAACTAGTATTCTATATGCCAATGCAAATTATTTTATTCTTTTTTCTCGGTGAGGCAAATTAAAAATCTTTGACCAAAACGGAAAGTACAGTGCGAACACCGTCTCACACGGATGATATATAATCGCCTACTAGTGTTAGTCACCTTGCATGCCAGGTGAAACATAACACTAAGAACAAATTTTCACCATGCAAGTCCCGAGTTATTAAATTGACGTAGTAGACAACGCGGACTGGGTGACTTTTGAATCTCACACACCTTTCGTCCCTCGGGCTGTTAGTGGAGGGACATGTTATTTCTGAGCTGGCGTCGTTACCGTCACTCAAACTCGCCCCGGGTGCGTGCAAACTCCACCAGAGCCTCTCTTTGATCATACCGACAGATTCTGCAACAATGGCACTCCATTCGGCACGCGACCTCTGCTACCAACACTAAGAGCTCACTCCCATAAACAGCATCGGTCTATGCACATGTATCCAACTCTGTGGGCATTTTCGCTGGATGAAGCCAGTTTAACAGATTAACGCGCCTCTTTTTTTTTCCCAACGCACCAGCATAATCATTATCCTCTACCAGGACGACAGATTGATTTTCACAAGATAGTCACAGATGTGTTTCTAGATAAATGGGCAGTCATTTGGCATTCTGTGGGTTTTTCAAGATTTCCCTATAATATCTGCCACCCTGGTAGAGGGTACACAATCACCAGGTTTTCTGTATCCTACTCTAAGCCTGGAGGAGGCGTGTTAATATGTTAAGCTGATTGCATTCTCGGAGTTATAGCGTAAAACATTAGTTCCATTTGGAATGAGCCCTCACACTCAAATTGCTGATCGTACGCCTCCCTGGTGTGTCGTTTGTCGCTCTTACAACTTGGGGGTTCTTGCTACCAACCAATTTCGCTTGTGTGTCTTAATTCTTGTATTATATAGAACGTGTGCGTATCAGCGTGTGCTTAAAGATGCATTTGAAAGGAGTCGACTTGTCAAGACAGCCAATGATATTTTAAGGAATATTTGAAAATAATAAGTCTATGTATAACCCCTTGGTCGTTTCACCAACCTTCATTTCAATAATCATGCTTTCACTCATATTATATTGGCATAAAAAGAAATCTTTAAAGAAAGCCAAAAACCTTAAATTCAAGGACCTTTGTTTTATTTTTTTAACAAAACTGTTTTAAAAAATCTAAGGCACATAGGTTATGTTTTTTTTTGTGATTCATATACATAATCAGTTATGAAAACAAGTTTTAAAATTTTAATGCTGCACATATGCTTCATTTTATCAACATTTTGATGTATGAATACGTGCATCTGGTTTAACAACTACACAATTTACAGGAATATGTGACATGATCTATAGCAATATACCACTAATATCTCGCTGAATACAATACAAAACAAATTCGTTAAGAATTAATATTGGGAAAAAAGAAGAAAAATACCTAAACTGAAGTTACTATTTTTTCCCACACTAACGTTGACTTTGTAGATATTTTCAAGGAATCATAATATGTTAGGAAAACTTATAAAAATTTGTCGTAAGTCATGTTAAATATTTACCTTGCAGCAATTCTGCATGTTATCATTCTGTTTTTATACAGATTCAAATGAAAATTAAACAATCTGCATGTTTTTGCTGGAGATAAAAAAGAAGGCATCATACTTAACGCGCCATACTGCCTTTCCTGCTCTGATTCATCTACATGCATATAAATATGTATACGTCTCTCAGTACACAGTCACCAACATAATGTTTCATAACACCTTCCAAGATTGGGTATAGCATCTTCTACAAAGGCTAGAATGACCCTGACCTTTGCATAAGGTCATGACCTTCACCCTAGGTCATGCTGAATGCCTCAATCCTATAAAATTGGTGATGATTCTTCCCAAGGTCCATCCACAAGACTCCTCAGAGAGCGTCGAGACTTATTCAACATGGCTTCTATTCTTTTCCGTGCTCTACGCTCCTCCTCCAGTTCTTTACGTAGTAGCACTTGTTCCTGGCAAAAATAATTAAATCAATTAAATGAATACATAAAATAAAATGGAATGAATAAATAAATAAATAAGAAAACGTACCAAAATTGACAGTTAATCACCCTAAGCTTTTTCATCTCATGATATCAAGCCTTTTTTTTCGAAAAAAAAAAAAAAAAGCCTTTAAACAAGCAATCAAAAAACATTACCTCTCTCAATTCTTTCAGCTGGTCTTTGATGGCATACACTGTGTCTACCAATGTCCTGAAGCACAATAATAAACCATCCATGGGTTATATGAGATTCACTGCTTCATTCTACACTCTTTTTTTAACAAAAAGTGCCAAATTTAAGGTTGGGAGTACCTTACAAGAGGGTTGAACTCCCAAAAAGGAAGTACGTTGATAATTCTGGCACTTTCTCCCTTTTACACACAGTGCACTTGAAATAATACGTGAACTATAGAAGTACATATCTTGGCTTTCTTCATCCCAAAAGTGTCCATGAAAGGTAACATCAGTGTTAAGCTTTGTAAAGTGCCGATTTAGTGAACCTCTCGAAGCACACAAAAGCTGATTTTGTTTAACTGAGGCCTGCTGCTTGATGCATTCATTGTTTCACTTCTTAGCTTTAAGAATTGGTTTCAAATCTACCGAGGGCCCATTTTTAATGAAACTAATATTCTATGTAGACTGACCCAACTCTTCTGGCACTCTTGCTGAATGCAATCAGTTAAACAGATGAACACCCCCCCCCCTTTTGTCTCGAAAGCACAAGTCTTATAATATTACCGGCTTTAATATATTCTAGTTAAAGCCAGGAGGATCTGTTATTCTATTGCATCCACCAAATTGAAGAGTCCTTGAAGAAGTGGATCACTCAACGTAGAACGATAGTTTCATTGGGAATGATCACTTACTTCTCCTCCACCACCGTCTGGTCGCCCTTCTGCTCCTCAAAGATTATCTTCTCCTCTTCAGCTATCAGCATGTGAGGGCTGTCTAACAGAGCTGGAAAATAGTGAATGAATTTTCATGTGAGGGCTGTCTAACAGAGCTGGAAAATAGTGACAGAATTTTCATGTGAGGGCTGTCTAACAGAGCTGGAAAATACGTCAAGAATTTTCATGTGGGGGCTGTCTAACATAGCTGGAAAATAGACCAAGAATTTTCATATGAGGGCTGTCTAACAGAGCTGGAAAATAGGTCAAGAATTTTCATGTGGGGGTTGTCTAACATAGCTGGAAAATGGGCCAAGAATTTTCATGTGGGGGTTGTCTAACATAGCTGGAAAATGGGCCAAGAATTTTCATGTGGGGGTTGTCTAACATAGCTGGAAAATAGTGACAGAATTTTCATGTGGGGGTTGTCTAACATAGCTGGAAAATAGTGACAGAATTTTCATGTGGGGGTTGTCTAACAGATTTACATTCAATATTTTTTCTAAAGGAGATGCTTAACATCAGATAAATTGCAATACTTTGAAGAGTGTCAATCAATAACTTTTTGAAGCAATCGAAAAAAAGTGAGGAAAACAAAAATGTGGATTAACACCTGCTATTATCGTATTTTATGTCTAAAATATCCAGATGACAGGGAGAATAAAGATGTCATTCAGTTAAATACCTGGCAGAATATAAAAAAGAAAAATAATACTGCAATATGGTGTGTGTGTGTGTGTGTGTGTGTGTGTGTGTGCACATATATATATATATATATATATATATATATATATATATATATATATATATATATATATATATTTTTTTTTTTTTTTAAAGAAAAATGGGAAGGGGCTGCATATCACCTGCTCACATACAGAAAAGCCTTACCATATTTCACAGACAACATACTTGATAATCATTACATGTAACTGAATGTTACAACAATTATGATACAACATGTAACACAAACCATAAATAACAAAACCCCGACTTACAGAGATCTATACACAAACCTTATATATACAACTGACAAAGATACATGCATGAGATATGTATTGGACTGATATATTGCAGGAAGGTGAAAGAAAGAGCTACGGCAGATTGACAGAAAAAAAAAACAACTTAAAAAACCATGAAAAGCCACTTTCTTGGAAAACACTTATAACTAACCTAAATCACTGTAGACAATTAAGGACCGAAATGCCAACAGAATATATATAATCTTAAGTGTTAATTTTCTAAAATGATCACATTCACAATCCATTTGGAACAAATTAAAACAGGTTCTGAACAAGTCTAACAGACATCAACTGTTACATCATCTTCAGCCCAGCATGAAGCCACCTAATGTAATGAAGCATCACAGCACTTGCAAAGGTGGATTTCTGCTGGACTGAATACTAACCATACTAAAAATCAAATAATAAGGAGTACACAAACTATCCCTCCCCCTCAAAGAAAAATCACTAGACAATTAAGCAAAGCTACATTTAACATTTAATTTAATCCTAATTATGTTAACTGTTACCATGATCACAGACGTCATTCTTTATTGAAGGAAAAACATAATATCATAAATATACTTACTGTATTGCATGTATTGTTTTTTAATATACAACTGATATATTTAACAGAAAATTACTATTAAGATCTAAACAAAGTATGGTTAGGAAAATGGCTGATTATGTATTTAAATTTTGTTTTGTATAGCATCTATATTGAAAGCAAACACAACAGTAATCCATAACATTAGGCCATTCTTAACATGCAGGAAATAAAAAAAAACATTTTAGTTGAATAAATATATACCAGAACACTTCCAAACTGATTTAAAAAATCTATTCACCATTATTTTCTATCAGTGTTTTATTTTAATGTTTTAACCCAACATCAGAAAACCATTCTCTATTATAATCAAACCTACTCAAAGTACTTAAAACAAAATTGGAATGAAATCAAGTGAAGACAGAACTAAATAGTTTCATAACAATTAGCCTCCATTTCAATACATAAATATCTATGAAATCTTAAAACCTGGATAATTAACAGCAGGCTGACAAAAAATAAAATAAATAAATAACGGAATACAAATAGAACATAATAATAATAATAATAATAATAATAATAATAATAATAATAATAATAATAATAATAATAAACAATTAAAAATATTAAATTAAAATAAATTAACTCTATCCTTTCTCAAAGACAGGCATCATATATTACAAGCCAAATTTAGTAGCCAAGGGTAGTGGGGGGTTTAACTCATAATACGTACTTAGGTCAATCACATCGAGCAAAAAAATCCACTTTGTTACCTTTTCTGACAGGAGAGTGTCCCGGAGAGCTGATCTTAGTGGATAAGGCAGGTTTATCATTGAGATACAGAATTGGCGTGTTACACCAATAGTCAACACTAAAATCTTCAATAGTGAAAAGATATAATTATTAAAAATAATCATATAAAAAACTTGATTGCTAAATGACTTCGAAATGTTTTCTACTTGAATTTAGCATTCTAAAGTAAAATATTACATTATTTATCCTACAATAACACTGACGTATTATCACCAGTTATAACTAAATTTAATCTAATTATAATTAGATACCACATTTATTTATTAAATCCAGATTTTCAGGAGGACACGTTGTACTGATAATTTTCACAAATGATTTCACATATTATATTTAACCTATTAATTAATAAAATAAAAACATGCTTACTTTTATTCAGGGTTCAAAATAAATTTCTGTGTTGACATAATGCAGGGGGGAAAACTCCGTTAAGCACTACATCATTTATTAATTTGGCAATTGAAATAATCTCCAAGATGCCTGTTTGATTAACATATCGAACACATTAAGATTTTTCAGATTATTTAAAACTGTAGCATGCATCAGGGAGTCTAACACGACATACCAACAGAACAGTACCAGGCCAAAAAGTTTACATGAGATTACTTTTATCCAAAATCTACTTTTCACATTTGTACTTTTTTCATTTTCACAAAGAAAAACTGCCATGCATTGACTGTGAATAGTGCTACATCATATTAAATGTTATGATATAATAGTATATCTTCACAAAATTTATTCAGATGATATTTAAGCCTATAATCAAGGGAATAACATGGAATGACTTCGATCTACTTTTAGTTACTAATTTAAAATCATACAGCAGGGATACAAGCTTCAAAACAAAACAAAGGGATTTTTTGAAGGAAAATTATCAGCATAAAAAAAAAGGATTTTTAAAAGGAAAATTATCATAGTACAAAAATATAAAAATCTATCTAAAAATATTAGGTGAGTATGAAAAGTTGTTGTCAAGATTTGACATATAACAAAATCAATTAAAACAAGCATTTGGAGAGTTACAGATCATCATAATTATAATTTTGCATTCCATTTAATCAACCACTATCAACCATAATAATCTACCATATTCAAACATACATAAGTTGATTTTAGTTAACAAGGGCAGGTTTGGCTGCAGAGGCTTATCTCTATCAGCAAGTTCCTTTTAATGGTGAATAAATAATAATAAAACTTAATCTTTAACATCACAAAAAGGCAAGACTCTTCAACTGAAATATATAACATAAGAATAATAGGGGTGAGATGGGTGGGGTGTTGGCATCATTTTTATCTTTTTACCTCCCTGACTTGACGGCCGTTTCCTCTGCTGCATTGGGCTATTGTTCAGACTCACATACGGAGTGTTAAAGCGGTAATGGACATCAAAACCTTGCAGATAGTGAAACAGATGTAGAATGGACATCAATATAGGACTAAGCAAACTGTAGTTCTAAATCATGACATGTATTGTTCCATCCCCCCCATATTCTGCCCAAGCTTACAAAAAAAAACAAAAAAAAAAAAAACGAGAACTTCCTTACCTGACAACATTTATTAAGAACTTGTAAGTAGTTCATACATATTTTATACATAGGCAGAACTCTACTAAAGAAAAAAAAAGGATACAATTTTACATTCTGACAATGATTATGTCACATCTGATGATAAAAAAATTGGCGCCGATGCCATCAATATCTAATACATATTCCCCTTAATTAAGAGATCCACTCTCTCTCTCTTTAAAAGATATACTTTTGAAAGAATATTATTTCTAAAAGTCATGTAGAATCACACACAGATATTAAAAAAACATGTTCAAACTGACATATATTTTAATTAAAATTAAACATAAATTGCTTTTTAAAAAGCACTTTTCCCAAGAATCTAAGATGTATCTTATTTCAGTTTTATAATATCTTAATCAACTTGCTCTTCATTAAAAAAACTTCAACATTAAGCACTTAGGCTGAGCATAAATTTCCCATAAGCAATCATACTTAAAGCTTTTGGTTAGTAACACAATAAAAGGGGTAAAGAATAAAAAATAATGGGTTTTGATTAATATAGTTTAGCCGACATTAGCTGTTAGTTACTAGGAATCACTTGTGCCATGTGAGGATAAACAAGGTCAACCACAATTAAAAACCAGGTCAATCACCATTAAAAACCATGTCAACTGCCATTTAAAACTAGGTCAATTATCATTACAAACCCATAAAAAAAAATACTTGACACTGAAGATGATGACAAAATATCATCCTGACATCTGAGCTCAGTTTCACCAACATTGGACAGTGCTATCCTAGCGATGATACTTTCCATTAGGTAATTTATTATCCTATTGACACTTATTCTGAAGATATAGAGCATATCCATAGGATAATGCTATGGTAAAATTGTTTTCCTTCAGAATGAAATCCTGAGGATATACAGCATCAATAGGATTACATTATGATAATCTGTTATCCTCTGGAGAGTTATCTTGAGGATATAGAGCATATATCCACAGGATAACCCTATGATAATCTGTTATCCTCTGGAGAGTTATCTTGAGGATATAGAGCATATATCCATAGGATAACCCTATGATAATCTTTTATCCTCTGGATAGTTATCTTAAGGATATAGAGCATATATCCACAGGATAACCCTATGATAATCTGTTATCCTCTGGATAGTTATCCAATGGATATAGGGCATAACTATAGGATAACACAATCTAATATTGATGTAAACAGACCCCAGTGTGTGTGTGTCAGTCTTTAGATTCCCAGAAACTAACGGCTTTTAAAATAAGAGGGAATTCACAGCAGATCATTCTTGGATCTACATATCCGCGGATTAAATATGGCGGACCATACATAAATAAAGAACAGACTAATCCACTGATGGTCTCCCCGCCTCCGCCATTAAATGGATTAAATCACAGCTCTGAGGTTTAATTGCTAGTTCCCTGCAAGGACAGCACGTGTGGAGGCAGGGAGACCATCAGCTAATTAGTCAGCTTTTCCACATGTAAGGTTCGCAATATCTGATCTGTGGATCTGTAGATCCAAGTATTAACCATTGTGAATGCCCTCTAAGAGAAGGATTACATGTAAAGAAAACCATCCACCTGCCCTGACATACACATTATCATAGAACAACAAAAACAAAAAAAAATGTTTAAGATTTAAATGATGGTACTTTTTTTGTTCAATTATCAACTGCAATTCAATCAGATGCATTAATCTGTTCTCATCAACCTGGCTTAACATCAATATAGAAAAAAAAAAAAGAAACTTCATGTGTTGAACATATTGTATTTTTTTAAACTGAAAATAAACACTTTGTATGTGTGCTTTGACAATTACAAAACCTACTTTCAATTCCTTACTATTTTATAGTTAAAACACTTTAAAAGTGTTGATTAGGTCTTTAAAACGTCCTTCTTAAAAAAAAAAAAAAAAAAAAAAAAAAAAAAAAAAAAAAAAAAAAAAAACAACAACAACAATTAGTGCTAGTCAAGTTTCTAGGTGAGCCTCTTTAGGCTCTTTGTGATGCTTCGCGTAACAGGAAAACTTGCGCAACAAAAGCCACGCATTATCCTCATTCTAGTATAATCGCCATATTCTGGTGAAACTAATGGCGTCTGATCGGTGACGCTATCTCGGTCAAACTCACGTAACTTGGACAAATCCACTGTCAGTGATAAATGCAGCATGAAAGATGATGAAATCACAAATTTATTGATGCCTGTTACTTCTGCTCGTTTTTTATTTGACAAATGAAATAAGTAATACATTAGAGAAATTGCAAATGAGGGGCAATATAAAATAATGGCTGCTTAAATAAATAAATAAATAAAAGAAAGAATGACTAAATGAGAGAAAAAAATTAAAGACATGATGAATAAACAATAAATAACAGACCAAACAAATCTAACACAGAGCAAAATAATTATAGAGGGACATCAGTTCATGGGGAAGCATGCTTTAGTGACTGACAACCTCTTTTTATCTGTTGAATCAATCATGTTTTTTTTTTATATCATGAGTAACATTTAATACCAAATGAGGCCATGCTGTGTGAAGCCAATGTAATTGCTACAACATCAACTTTCCATACACACACATACAAATAAATAAATAAATAAATAAATAAATAAATAAATAAATAAATATTCTAGGCTATTTTATTGCACACATAAAATCATGGCATTATAGGAACACCCTTTCAACAGACTATAAAAACTGCACTATTTACCACATACATAAACTAGCCATGCAATATACCCGGCCTTTATGTGCAGCATAGATATTCATTCGAGAGCTTTCCCTCTCTATTCTGCATTTCCTTTCCACATTCATTAACACATGACACACTAAATCTAATCTAACTAAAACCAAGGACAACTACAAAATAACATTCTTTTATTCCATCAATACACTCAAAGAAATTAACTTAGCCTATCTAAAATTATTATAATCTTTATTGAGCACTAAAACGTGTACAAGTTTCATTTTACAGGCCCTCTACTATACTTATTATAGTTTTATAAAATCTGTATAAATACAAAATACATATGAAATGTTTAATGGGAAGTAGCACAGGATAAAACGACTATTGCTAGTGATGGGTGTATCGTTTTTCCAAACTAAAATGGTTCTGTGGCTATCCTCTTGTTTAAAAAATCTGAAATGTTTTGTTGTTGTTGTTGTTTCCTTCAATTTCTGTATACAATCACATAGGGTTCCCATACTTCCCCATGTTATTCTGAGATTATTGCCATTACAACATCAGGGAAGGGATGGAAGGGGGGGGGGGGGCGGGGGGGAGAGAAAACAGTGGATCTGTAAAACTGTTTGGAAACAGCAGTAAAGCTCCTAATCATGCCCAGTAATTAAGGAGCCCTAGGTCTGTTCACAGAAGGCAAACTAACCAGGTACAACTTTAAACATGTTTTACAGACCCAAAGTAATCAAGCAATCAAACAGCACTAATGCCTTGTAAATGAGTGATGAACAATGTAAAAACTGTACATTGTGCGGAGTTAATGATATTTTTATACAAATCCCCCTCTGGCTATATAGCTACATGGGAATGCTTTTCCGGATTTGGTGTATGCATAAAAAAGACTTGACAGGTAATTTCATTTCACATCTGTATTTACACACAAAATAATTTTTTTTTTCACAAATATTGGGGATGTTGTTATTTACACACAAAATAATTTTTTTTTTTCACAAATATTGGGGATGTTGTTATGTTGAAAGGTTTCGATAGAAATGTAGAAGTTGTTTTATCACTAGGTTTTCAATTAGAAAGCAACTGGAACTATACCAGCCAACATTCCACTTGCTAACAGCCAAACATATTCAAACTGATAAAGTACTCCGTTTATTTCCCAAGCTACTGACAAAAGAATTTCAATCTGAAAAATCTATAAAATTTTAAACTATCTGGGTTGTATCATGCATTCACTGGTCATTGTTATATAAGATATACTGGCCATCAATTTACAACACACACAACATATTCAACTGTAGCTGAATTAATAGAAGCTGACATAAAACAACAACTAGTTGTACCACTCAAGTACAAAACAAACATTTCTTACATCAAAAGCATATGCAATATCTCAGATGGGGTAACTTAAAACACATGGTGCAAACTGTATCTCTAAACATGGGGTGTAAACTTTATCTTAAGACACAGGGTGCAATTTTTTCCTTTTCTCCAATCACATCACAGACTTTGAAAGAGTACCAAAGGCAAGTCAGCAATTTATATTAAAAGCTCTCCCTGTGAAAAAGTGGACCTTTTTTTACCCCTTGAGTTGACATATCTTTAGAAATGAAAAAGGACTTGGATTAAATTTTGATTCAGAGTGAATCTTTTCTGACCAAGTGCCTGGTAAGCTTAACTTTATGCTACAAGATTAAGTATACTAGTAAGGCAATTTTGTGCATCTTCCCTCAAAATCAGGCATTTAAAATCCTCTTTGTGCCCAGTCTCCTTAAATATAAGCTGCGTTTTCTGTGCATGCGGATTTGTGCATTTGCAAAAAAGCTCATCTTAAAAATCTTGGCAAGTCTATGAATTGAACCAACATGATGAGGTGACAGAACCAAAGTTGCACAGCTCGGTTTTGAACCCCCCAAGGCAGGAACACTTCTCCATCAGTCATCAGTGACACGCACTCATGCCATCAATGTCAACTATGCTGGCTGGGATCAGTTTCACAATGAGAGCTATCTATTAAAAGCTGGCCCCAGTTTCACGAAACAAAATTAAAAAAAAAAAGGAAGTCAGTTCCCTGGCTTAGTTGGCTAGGATTTCCATGAGGGTGTTAGTACACTGCTCCTGATAGTGTAAGATGTGACCATGTGACCATGTAAGCTTAGTAATAAAGTTCTTAGCCAGGGGACATGACTTGAGTTTTTTTTTTTTTTTCATGATACCAGGGCCTGGTCTAAACTTCTACACCAAAATAATAAGAAAATTAAACCTTATACTGGATCTTACATTGAAACAGAGATCAGGATGCTTCGACTTTATCACAAGACCTTCTTAATTGGAGTTGTCACCAGTGGCACAAGGTGACAGTCACCTGCCATTGGTTCACATGAATGTTGAGAGTTATCTGTTTAACATAAGATCCAGTATCAGATTAAATTTTCTCATTATTTTGGTCTAAAGTTTGGTCAAAACATTCACTTTTACACAAAAAATTTGATCTGCTTCAATTCAGGATAATTGTGTAATTGTCCACTATGATGAAGAAACTACTGACTTATATTTTAGCTTGTTTACATTGACATGGTTTAAAACCTTGAAAAACATGCAGCAAGTTAAATCACGACCTCTGTAAACTCCATGGTTTAACCAATGAAGATAATTTAAATTACTGTCATCATCATATAAAGCAGTGACAACATTTTTGAGGTGGACTATCACTGGCTTACCTTGGGGCGGCAAAGTAGACTAACAACTTGGTCTACAAATTAGGACCAACTTTCAGACTATAGCCCATTTGTGAAGTCAGCCCCTAAACAATGCAGACTGATCCGGTAAACGTTCTAAGTCAGTCTACCTAGAAGGACCCCACCCCCCACCCCAATGATGGTCAGAATTATGGGGTTTGATATGGAAATGAAGTCTGTTGTCTAGGATACAATCATGTTTGGGGTCTGGGTCTGCCTCTGACTAGTTAAACTGACGTAGAATATTTCTGCCAAAGGACTTTATTTATATCATAAGAAAACATGCGTAATACTCACATGAGTTAACAGTGTGTCTTGTCTTGGCACTTGTACAGTAGGCTTCAATGACTTTCAGAATAAGTGCGTCCTCCATTGTCTTGGCATCATCAACTGAAATGACATTGTGTTAGGTGAGAATCAAAGGCACATCCTGGCAAAATCACCAATTGTGCTGGGTGTGACAAGCACAGCACACCTGACACAACCAGCTGAAGTTGTCACAGGAATGGGAACAAAAATTTTAAAACACCAAAAGCAGAAATTGGAACTTTTTACAACAGTTTATATAGTCATTTTAACACTTTCAATGCCCTTTTTATCACAGCAGATCAAAAATAGACAACTTGACATCTGAAATAATATATGTTTCAGTGAATACTTTCCTTAATTTTGATATTTGACTTGATAAAATGGAAACAGCGTACTTTATCCACCAATACTACTAAGCATGTGCAGCATAAATTCTCAATGAAGATCTGTCTCAATTTAACATTTATATAACACCATGCAAAACATATCAAACATGCCGCTGAAATGCTTTACTCATCCGAGACTACTAAAAATATTTCAAAAGCAAAACATTCCTTCAGCCCCATAACTGTTACATCATGTGTGCATAGTCATTATAAAACAATTAAATCACAACATAAACGTCATGCCATTAATGTTTATCATTATGCGCTGGATACCATACTATGATTGTGAGAAAATACACAGAAAATAGTACCATACAACTCCTTGTACCATGATCATAAATCTATAAAATGCACCAAGTAATTATACATCCATGTGTGTATAATATGTAACTCCAGGAAACAATTCACAAAAAAACACAATTGCTTCCAGCATTGACCAATTTATGCAAAACATGAACCAATGCAACAAGTGGAAATTTTATCAGATGTTGCAGCAGCACTGATTTTTCAAAGTCAAAAATAACTGCCCCTGTAAGTGAATAACTAAAGAATAAATAATAAATAATAATAAAAATAATAATAATAATAATAAAGTCAACAAATGCTGCTCACATGCAATCAAGTGAGGAATAATTTCAGGCTGGACAAGCTAAATATGAGGGCGACATACAGGGCAGGCGAATCTTTTCTTAAAAAGCATAGCTCCAAACTTTGCGAACGTTCTATTTGGGAGTGGGGCAAACTTGCATAATGTGCTGCTTGCATGCATACTTATATTTTATGACAAAGTAATGTCAGTGTTGGGCAATTTTTCTTTTTTCTATTTCTCCTTCTCCATCTTTATTTCCTATTTCAGTGATATGCTATCCCCACATAACATTGCGTTCCCATAGATCTGTATGTTGTATGAGATGAGCTGCGAAAACACAGTGTAAGCCTAGGGAAATATATCACGATATATCATGGGAATAAGAATTAACAGGAGTAAGGAATAAAGAAGGACAAGAAACCGGATTTTTCAACATTTTTGAGAACAAAATTTCCTGGAGTTTCCTTGATCTGAGGAACTTATCGCATATTCCCAGAATTTTCCCTGACTAAAAAAAGGGGGATTCGAAGTCATTTTCCAGGTCTTCCCTGATTTCCAGGTAGGCTGATAACCATGATAAACATGACCTACCAAAACACTACTTTGTCATATATTGATAATGATCACAAGCTAACAGGGATATATATACACTGTATGCTAAAATGATAGGTACACCAAAACCAATGACGGAGAAGGGAAGCTGGCCGGTGGGAAGGAACAGGATGGAAAGGTTATGGCAGAAGTGGGAAAGTTTAAAAAATCTGCAAAATATAAATACTAGGTTATATAAGATGGCTATGAACAAGTCTTCATAGGTCTTAATGAACAAGTTATTCTTCTGACATTTTCCTGCTATAATTTTTTTCTGCCACCTGTAACATTTTTTCTGGTATAATTGTTTCTGCTATCTTAAATAACAATTGCCAGAAATTTTGCAAATGAAAAACGAAAAATCAATCAAGATGTTTCTTTCATATAAAATCCCTTCACCATGCCTGGTTTTTGGTGACCTTCACAGTACAGTAAAACTAGGCTTAGAAAGTCTCTTGGATTTCATCGGTCATGCTCATAATAAAACAACGAGGACCGTGAATATACTAACTTTTCCTGATAGACAGATAATCATCCTCTGACTTAGCTCGCTCTGAAATGTCGCCAAGGATATTTAATACATGAAAACTGGTGACATTTTTCTGCAAGGGGAATCATATATGTAAAATTTTGTCCCTTACATTTCTGTAACTTCTAGTACTGAGAAATATAAATGCCAATCGGCTGTCAAACTTTAAATAAATAAATAAATAAATCTTTTTTTAAACCATTTTGCACACGACCTATTAGTTAGCCAAAATTAAAACTACTGTTCATGGCAATAGCAAATTATGAAGCACAGTTTAATATGAAATGGCAATGCTGGATAAACTGCAGATATGAAAAGCTTCAATAACAGTTTATGGAGACACATGATTTCAAGCATGAAAGCTGCCACTAGTGTCAACATACACCTCTAGTCCATTATAATGGCCAACATAAGCTGACAATTAGCCATCAGTGTGTGTGTGTGTGTGTGTGTGTGTGTGCGCGCGCACACATTCGTGCATCTGCTTCCCATACTGGGTAGACCAATTTAACTGTAACACATAATCATAGTGGAAATTTAGGAAGCTGGCCCAAGTTTGGCCCACACAGACTTGTCAGCAAGAGAAATTAAACAATACTGAAGTCAAATAAATGATGCACTGGATCAAATGCTTTGTCCGCAGGAGGGGTTGTAGCAATCTCTTCGCTAACATTGTGAAATAGTGTCCCCAATCAAGTTAATCAAGATTTTAGTTAATATTATCATCATACTGAAAATGATAATAGAATCATATGTTTAAAAGATTCAAAAAAAAAAAAAAAAAAAAAAAACATAATATTATATGTTGCATATATGGGTTACCTGGTCTTCTAGTAAGAGTCCGGAACTTTCTTCCAGATCGAGGGCTCTTGGTTGGGTCGTCTCGAGAGAAGTAGACGGGTCTGAGTGGGGGGCAAGGTCGCAGACACGACAGACTCCAGGTCTTGTGAGCCTTAAAGAGAGGCTGGGGGGTCATCTTGAATTTCTTGCCCTGGGCTGGAAGAGTTGCCGTGACGTTTATGTTGGGCTGCGACGTGGAGAGCTAAAATAACAGAGTTAAAAAGTTCACTATTATTATTATTATTATTTGGTATTCTCCACAAACTGAGCCATAGTCTGAGAAGAAAAATAACAAGCTACCCATGTGTCACAACAAGTAGAAATGCACAAATGCATGGAATAGAACAAGTCATGGCCTCTTGTTTTCTGTTCAAACCATGATGTAAGTAACTTTATGCAAAATAGTATATACCCACATACATGCAAAGGTGAAGACCAGACCATAGAACTTTTTTAAATCTGGCTGAACTCAGTTAACAAGGATATCTGGATTTAAACCCAACTTTTACCCATTTTGTTATCAACCTACCTGCAAGGGTGTCAGTTTTGCTGGGATGGTGTGAGAGTGAGAGTGGGAGGGGGGAGTGCTCAGCGCTGGAGGAGCTTTGGGCTTGTTCTGCTGCCGTAAGGCATCAAGCCAGGCTTTCTGCTCATGAGGCGAGGCACAGGACACAACTATCTTATCTGTCGTGTTCCCTGGAAAGTAGGTCAATACAATGTCAAGGTCATTAATGCAAGGTCAAGGTCATTATGACTCATTTCTGTAAGTTTTAAAATCAGGCTGGCAAAGTCAGCGTGGATAAAAAGGAGAGCAGTGAATATCCATTGTCCTATAGATCCTTTTACTTAATTTCTTTTCACATACATAATGTTCAGTCTTTGTTCTGTCCTCATGTGCATGCAAGTCTATTAATTCCTAAGTTTTCAGTACAAGTTCTTATTTTCAGACTGTCAAAATACTAGTAAATGAAAAGTATGCAACAATCCTCTGTGATTGAAATAAAGACTCACAAAAAATCGGTGCATGAATTTGTGTGTAATTGTTTCCTTTAACTAAGAGCAAGCTGTGTTTTTCTTACCTGATATTTCAAAGGCATTTAGTACAGAATCTTCATCTTCAATTGCTTTGGCTGTGGTGCCACTTAGTGTTATTTTAGACTGAAAAATAAGACATCTCTCCAACATAATTCTAGGAGATGTATCAAATGAATGCTATACAAGACCTCTATACCCATATTCTTCAGTATATAAAAAAGTAGAGAATTTGTTGAGACTGAGGGGTCAATATCCACTTATATGCTAAATACAAAACATGTGAACAATTTTCTTGAACTTATTTACCTCAAATGTGTACCCTTCTTGCTGAGGATTTGCTGATAATATGATCAATTTCCCCGGAAAAAGGATAAATAATCTCTCAGCCTTTTCTCCACCTTCCATGTGCATTAATACTTGTGACAGTAGCAGGACATCTCCATATTGACTAATACTCTGAAATGTTACAGTGACAATACAATACCTTACAATACTGTTATAGTACATCACCATATTGGCAAATCCTAAAAACAGTAACTGTTACAACACAATTCTGTACCTGACAGTTTATCTCTGAATTGGTTACTAATAAAAACACCAATTATAACAATAGAAGTGATAATAATAATAATAATAATAATAATAATAATAATAATAATAATAATAATAGTAATGAACACTGAATATTTGACTAACATCCTCTAAGCCACTGATTGTGCTGGAAAATATGTCCAGTTCCAGTTCTTTCTGCTTTCTTATTTCTGTACATGAACTCTGAAAAAAATAAAATATTTTAATACAAGTAATGAGATAAAATATTGGTGCAACATGGATGTTTTACACTAAGATTATTGATTTAATATTTATTATTATACATTATATTTTAATATACTGATGCACTGCACACTCTTTTCTATATATCTGGACAAACTCTATAACCTCCTGTGAAATATTGTGCTCTCTAGATACATAATTAAAGATGAACTGTCATAATGAACTAGTTAATAACACATATGATAAAAATCCCTGGCACTTACAGCTATGTCCCTGAACACGGCGATGGCTCTTTGTGTGTCCCCTCTATCCACATGACAGTCCTAGAATATAACAGAAATATAGAGTGGAAATAGTACGTTAATCATAAATTTACAAATGTACAAAAACTCAATATCCAGTAAAAGTGATAACAAGAGCTGATTGTATTTCTTCAATTCCTGATTCATCAATGAAAACATCTCATAAGAATTTTCTTCCCAATTCTATTTTTTTTCAGAATGGAAAAATTATAAATCAGAAGAAAAATCTAAAACATTTATATATCCAATTTCAAGAGCAATTTCAGTAAATGCCATAGCTAAATTGAACAAATTTCTCCAATTATACAGTATTACTGACTGACACATACATGTAAGCATACTATCATATATATGAATCATCCTAAACTTGTCTTCAGACTATTCCCCTCACCTCAATGTGTCTCTCAAGTTCCTTCAGTAACACAGGGTAACGATCCAGCATTCTGAAGGGGTTGGACAGGCTGGTGGTCAGTGTGATCACCCCTGGGGCCACTGCCCCCTGGTTTTCCATGAACTGGTCAAGCTTTTCCCTGGATGGACAAATGAATGAAATAGAATTTGTAATAATAAAAGTTTTGTTTTAAAATGTTTTTATTTTCAATGTATAACAGTATGGTGTATGTGGCATGCTATTGATTGCTGTAATGTATCCAGATCAACTGCATGTCATGAAAAATAAATAAATAAATAAATAAATAAATAAATAAATAAATAAATAAATAAATAAATAAATAAATAAATAAATAAATAAATAAGAAACAACTTTATGTCTGTAAAACTGATACAACCCAAGACAGCTTTAAAGAGTGTTGTTTCTAAATACAAACTCCCAACTTGATATTGGTGAATATGTGCGTGTGCGTGTGTGCGTGTGCGTCCACGTGCCTGCGTGTATATGCATGCCTTACTAAAATGTTAAAATCTTCACCTGTGTGTCTGTAATACAGAGACAGCCTGAGGATGGTTGGAGCAGTAGGTCTTGTAGAGAGATATCAACTGGGGAGCATTCATCATAAAGCTGCCCCCTACCTTCTGTTGGTTACTGGGCATTCTGAAACAAAATAAAAAATTCTTTAATGAAAAACCGATCTTTTCTAGAAATATTGGCCCTAACACTAGGATCATAGAAATATCCAATTTTATTTTTTTTTTTTCATATCTACATAAAAGATTTAAATAATTAAAAGAAATATATACATTAATGAATAGAAAACATGGACACTGAAAGAGCTTTAAAAATTCCACATTCTCCAGAATGTCTGGATAATTACATCATTTACTAAATCTGTTACCAAAATATTTGTCTACAAGTATGAAGGTATCCTTTTCAGAACATCTCCTATAACAGTGTGACATAGTAACTTACTTTGCAATTTCTTTCAGCTGAGCTAGGAAGTTTTCCTGGAATACTGTGATGTCCTCAAGGTTTCCACACAGCTGTGAGTATTCTGCTCCACTTAAACTGAACAAAAAATTTGTTTTATAATTTTGTCTGTCTCCCACTCTCTCGATATTAAAATTACCTCTCACAATCAAATAAAAGACACTCATAGATCTTTTTATTATTACTTAATACCTGTAAATCTTTGATGATCATCATTTTTTTAATGATTGAGGAACAAACAACAGATAAATTTTTTGTTTTCTAAGTTTTGTCAGACTATACAAACTTCCGAAAAAAGGGGATGTAGGTATAAAATATTTGTTCACTGAACGTCTACAACCCATTCTGCAGTGTCCAATCTAAAATTCAAATCTCATATTAGAGCTATTACAAACTAGAGCCCACTCACATTCCTGCCTCCTGCAAAGGTTTCAAGTATTTTTCCAGCAGCTCCTGTAGCTCAGTCACGTGAGCCTGTTCCTGGTCTATGATGTTCTGTAACACCTGGGAAGTAGACAAAATAACGAGATGAGAATCTGCTACAAAAAAGCACTGAGTTTATGTAATATCAACGAACATACCACTGGGGAATTTCATGGACAAAAATTAGTTCTTTATCATGATGTCTGGACTATTTCATTTTCCTTAAATCAAAAGTTGTCTGCTTGATTGACAATCTGCACTTGTATTGTTTCACAAATAGCAAGAAACAGTTTACTGTTACTCAATTTAATGGTGGGACTAATACAGATTCATCCTGGGTTGAATTTTTTTTTTTGTTTCTTTTTTCAGTTGTCTTCAATTTGAAACAAACTTTTTTATTTTTATCAAGTGAAGCAAACTTTTAAGATACTGGGCTTAGTATATACGGTGACTTGTCCAGATTGCATTTTTGATAACCAAAGTAATGGTTGTTCTTCCTTTGCCATGACAGTTGATTGCAATCAGTTGTAATGGGACTTTTGGCCACCATGCTGTGTACTCCACATATATCTTACCACACTTTGGTAGTGAGCTGTACTTTCTCTTTTGTTCAACTTAATCTCTCCAGCTTTGACACCAGGGGGCAGGCCAGTCTTGGGATCTGAAATAAAGATCATTCAAGGTATTCCTACTGGCTTTCTATAAGCTACTATTTTTTGTTAAGTCTTCAAGGGATTTCTGAAACATAGATAACATAAATACATGCTAAATATATGGTACATAAAACCATGATAAACTTAGAGTTATCTGTATATGGTATATGTTAGTAAAACAATTCAGGCTAAGTGATTCTTCATAATGAAACTATCCAACACTTCAGATTAACTGAAAGAACAGGGCAATAACAGCGGAACTGTTACTGAAATATCTTCAAAAATAAAGCAAATGTTCTATATGCAAGTATGGGCTTTCTCGTATGTAAACAAGCAGACTGTATCATGTTCGCACTGTAATAATGAACACAATATCCACACATGGAAATAAAGTAAATTCAATAATTCATATAGATAGAAATGTCTGACTTAACTCATTTTTCTTCAGCAATTTCCAATACATAACAATAAAAATTATCAATAAAAAAATGATAGAGTGAAAATTTAGTTGATTATCAGTAACTATTCTTCCAAATTGTTTTATATATATATATATATATTTTTTTTTTGTCTTACCTAGTTTGACCTCTTTGACATAGTTGGCAGGGAACCATCCCGTCTGTCCGTTAAGGGTTCCTTCCCACCATCCCCCGTCCACTATCTGGGTCACCGTAATCAGGTCACCTTTGCAGAAACACAACTGGAAAATAAGATTTATAAGAAACTGTGCAAATAGTAAAAAATATGTTTTTGCCATTTTCATTATGTATGACTATAAACTCTGCTCTTAAATCTTAATTTTATTAAAAAAGTGAATGAAAATGATACGAAAAAAAAAGGTGCTTGCGTAAAAATCAGCTTTATGTTCAAGGTTTTTCAACAAAATATCAACTACTTTCTTTATGCATTTCAAGTTGTGCCTTTGATCTTTGTCATATCAAGACTATTTGATTCAACTACTAATTCTTATTAATTACTAGTATGCAAGTTCCCTTGAAAAAAAAAGGGGAAAAAAAAGAATATTACAAACCTCATCATTGTTAGTGCCCTTGAAATTATAGGCTCCAACCACAATCTTGGGCTGGGGGGAAATCACTTCTGCCATTTCTGTATGGTGTTCAAAGGATTTCTACACTCACATTTTCAAAACAACCTGTGATACAAGATACTGCAATGTAAATAACAATTGAAAAATACCTCCTTTCATCATGATCACTATTTTCAGTTGTATTATGGATCCACAAGGGACGAATTAGTAAAAATAAAATGATAATAATAATAATAATAAAACCTTAAAAAATTAATATATAAAAGAACATGACTTTTAACATTACAAAAACACTATCAGCAGTCAATAAATACAACCTTTACGCCCAAAGGCAAAGACTTAACACGAAACAAGGACAACTATATTCTGAAACGGTCTTGTATTAGACAACTACTACTACTACTAGTTCTTGTAGTAATACCAATGTTACCATAATACTTTTGACATTCGCTTATTGACCTCCAATAATGGCAAAATCTATATACAAAGCAAGCGAAGTAAAGAGTGATGCAAAACTGCATTTCACAAACCAATTCTTGTTGGGCAAAGTGGTTTCATTAAATGCATAAAATGAGTATAATTATCCATTAAAATCTTACCATTTCTTTCTCTGTTATCTTAATCATCACCAAAATTTGCTGCAAACCGGAAGTTTAGTCATTGTCAAGAGGGGCTAAGCATTTCCTGGCATTTCCTTTTTTTTCAAAGGGTGCTTGTTGCCAAAGTTTGCAAAATAACTATCAGTGTATTGAGTCAATAGTCTTAAAATGATTTATGTTAAAAACTTGAAATGATCAGTATCAAACCATTGCTTAATGTTAAAAAGTCTGCGAAAATGTTTGACAAGTCAACCTGCGTTATCTTGGCTAATAACATTAATAATCGCTATCATTTATAACATTAGTGAGAACAACAATTGGTCTGAGATTCTAATTTAGAGAAAAAAAATTACCTTTATTAACGTCCATATCTCATATAATTTTCAAAAGACGAAAATCAGTGTTTGCATTAAAACTTCTCGCGCGACCTATATATTATCGGCTATCAGCATTTTCTACACTTAACTTTTTGACCCCTTTATTGAATTTACAGCATGTGTTATAAAATACCAAGTTTCGTAACTGACCTTTTGAGCTCGGGACAGGCACCTGGGCGCTGGTGTCAATTGCAGGTGAGTAGTTTTCTCATGTTTCTTCATTGACCATTATTATTTATGGCATTATTACGCGATGCTAGTTATTACGATGAATTTTGTCGACTGTGACTGGAAAGCGAAAGTGATTGACTTTTTGAGTTTAAGATTAATTTACACAACTTCACAAGGAAGTTGTATCTTTGAGTCATCAGTTCACCTTCAGCTTCCAGGAGCCACATGAATGGAAATATCTGGTTATTCAGTGAAAGTAATGCCCAGCAGTAAATACGTAAAAATGGCGTTTAAAATTATATCAGTAAAATCTTAATGGGAATGCTGCCAGTGTGTACAATTTGCTTTTATACTTGCTGTGTACTAGTGCATGTACTGTAATTATGTGCATAAAACAAAGGTATTATATATGCTCTTCGCCTCAGTTACATGTACCAATGTAAAAGTGTCTAAGAAACAGACAGTTCCTAGTAGTCTTTTTAGCTGGGAACTTCTACAATGTGTATGTACTGTACATGTACATAAGCTATATATATATATATATATATATATATATATATATATATATATATATATATATATATATATATATATACCAGTGAGTATCACTGTAGACCATTCTGGATATATATGAAGCCTGTAGCCACAGGTTATGAAACACAGTTCACATTGAGTTAACACTACATGTGATCAACATTTTCACCTTAACTGAACTGTAACATACTGTATTATTTTACTTTTCGGACATCAAAGATTGCCGTTGTGAAGAGAAGTTATGTAAGGCTACACATGTAGTGACATAATACTGAGACAGCAGTTTGGAGAAACACCGGTAGCGGGTGTGTGTTTGTGTGCATCCTTATATCACACAGTTGTGTAATCAGCTGTTATATATGCATTCCTGTATCACTGGACAGGTGAGTAGAAGGCTTACTCATTTCTTCCTAATTCTTTGTTGAATTTTATATTGAAACAAAAAGCTAAATCAAATAAGTGTTTGTTAACACATGTAGCAGTGACTGGTTAATTAATAACTATTATGTATGTATTGATTATATTATAAATAATGATCACTGAGTGAAGGCCTTGATCAGTATGAAATATGGGACAAGGAAAACATTCTAAAAGGTGAAAGAAGGGAAAAAATTTTGTATTGAAAATTTTTATTAGTAACTGGCTTTGATGCCTGCTAATTTTTTATAATCCACATAGATAAAATAATTGAAATTAAACAAGGATACATAAATGCATTTAATTGTTGATGTTTTAGTCAAAATAATTATGTGTGTTTTATATATTTATAAAGTACTCACTAACTACATATGCATGTATTTCATATACAACATTTTGTATATTTTCCACTCTTTACACTGTTAAATTTTATGTGCATTATATTATTCAGAATTTCTTTTCTGAGCTTCATTTATTAGTACCACCAGCGTGTACGCTGGCGGTACTCATGGTTTTAGTCCCGACCCTTCTCGTACAGCTCCGCCGGCTCTGCCGGCTCCTGCGGCTCCTGCGGCTCCGCAGGATGACGTGGGATACGAGTCACCGTTACCGCTTCTCCTCCTAGACCGCAAGGACCTGTGTCCCCATCTCTTGGATTTGGGTCACGTATAATCTCAACTTGAACCCCCTGGTTTTTTTGTCTCAGTTGGTGCATTGACCTGGGCGTGACGCTCGTTGAAATGCACCCTTGTCAAAAATTTTCAAAATTCAATGCTAAATATCTCCCAAACCAATGGAATTATGGGAAAAATTACTACAGATGGCTGACCAAAAGTCATATGTGAGGATTTCAAATATGCCCTTGGATTTGACCTTTGACCTTTATTTCAAGGTCAAACGGGCCAAAATTTTCTAAAAATGGGAATTTTTTGCGAGAAAATTTTTATTTCAGCCGATATTTAGAAACGAAACATATCTTACCTATAATATTATGGGCAGGTGTTACCCTTAGGGTCATCTTTCATTTTCGTGAGTTTGGGGTCAATCGGTGCATTTTCATGGTAGTAGCGGCCATTAGATGCTGAAACTGAAAATTCTCTCTAATTCTGGAACCGTTAATGCTAGAGACCTCTTGTTTTTTTCATTTTGTAGAACTTGTCAAGGGCAACACTGGGGGTGGTGTCCATTTTTTTT